GGTCATCAAAGTTTCCCGATCTGGCGACATGTGATTTCGCTCAGTTGGGAAAAAAAAATGATGCTATCCCAAGATGATTTGTCTGACACTCGTGACAGCGACACCATTAAACCTTATCGAAAAGATATGCATCGATCAAACACTGCCTGACGCTTCCTAGTGGTCATGAAGGCACTGGTCTTCTGGAGAAATCAGATGACTTTTGAAGCTTAAATGGTGAATGGCAGGTCAAGTACACTGATGCTAATTAAAAATGTATGTGCTATCAAAACCAAGTGAAATATTGTACAGCAAAATTGCATGTTGGCATAAGTTGAATGCTTTCTCGAGCATTGTGAGACCTTAGAAAGTGAGCACTTGCGATGCCGAATCCAAAGTGTCTGCGAAGTCAAATACAAGAATGTCTCGCTTCCGTCAGCACACACAAAAGAATAAACACCCAAGTTTCACATATGCACCACTAATATCACCGTGCACTATCTATTATAATCTTCACCTCTGCAGATGTGCTGCCCTCCAGCGGCAACTGTTTCTAGCGACTAACCCCATTATTAGAGGGGTGCCCAATGCAGATATTCCTTAGAAGTGAATTACAGATGATTAAATGTTTGAACCACCCGACTCCGAACCCCCCTACCGCCATTTTGTTGACCTGTGACGTACAAATTCCCAATGCGCATAGCGTTCGGCTAACTTCGTCATGACGTCATGACTGACAACAGGCCGAAGTTAGCCGAACGCTATGCGCATTGGGAATCTGTACGTCACAGGTCAACAGAAATGGCGCTCAAAATATCGCCGCTCGTCACTTCGAAATTTTGTAACAGGTTATAATAGTTTAATACATAGTATTGTGATACATAGTAAGTCCCTCGCTCTAGTACTATAGCCCGCGTATAGTTGCCGCAGGGCTATAGGACATTCTATTACGAATGCTAGGGACAAACCCGCTGACTGGCGCTGCTGCAGCGTCGCCAAAAATGGCCGTTTGAAGTTCGCAAATCGAATGTTCGTTCACAAGAAATACTGCAAGCAGACCATTTCAACGATAGTTAGAGGTTAAATTTTAGTGGCGGATATAACTTAAAGGGATAGTAGACTCTAGGATTTTACTACATACAACTGTACTTACCAGGGCCCTCGCTACCCACTCGCCAATTCGCCAATGGCGAACAAATTAGTAATCTGGCGATTGAAAGTCTTATTTGGCGAAAAAAGTGACGAACGTAATTTTCCCGTAATAAACATGACCCAGCAAACATCGATCCTATTTGATCGTCGAAACAGCAGCGTTTCTTTTTGCATGCCGGCACACTCCTGTGTCATTCCCGATTGCAGCTTTTTCCTCGATTCCGGGAGTTTTGCTGTCGCACATTCATACCAGCGCGGTGCCCACCCCT